GGCAGGAACGCTACAATCACTCTAGACGAAGTAGCAGCTACAAAAGCTATGGCAGTAGCAGCGAAGGCGGACGCATTCTGATCTTCCTTGCATGCTTGCTGCTATAGAGCTTTGATATGAATGACTGATTCCATACAAAATCCACGAAGGAAACATAAGTTGAATTTTTAATGAGAGATGTTACCCTATTTCGTTAGATGTGATGAAGGACAATTTCGAAAACCTACTCAAAGCTGAAAATAAGATTTTTTAAACTTACTATTACTGAGACCCCCAGATTGCTGGCTTATTTGAGGAGACTTATATTTCACATGCAAGTGTATGATGATGATAAGTAAGACTAATCTCACCAGAAGACGACGGCTGATTCCCGTTGTAGTGCAGCCGTTTGACCTTAATACGGCGTTCAGTCTGACGTAGTCCATGAATCCTTCTCCTTCGTTTCATCTATCATATGCTAGACATCATCGGAGCTCAAACTCATTCTTGTTCAAGTCTCACGTTAACATTCGATAAAGAAGACTGCCAGGATATAGCTTACCTTTTACATACAATCGTAACTAAAAAACGAAAATTTATAGGCATAGATGGATATAGAATGGTTTGGCAAGCTATCTTTCATATTGGTCTGTGTGTGTCTGTGGGTTAACGTCTATACGCAATACAGGTCGTAAATCAGAAAGATTAAAAAAGCCGCATCTCAGGCTCGAATCATCAAGGCTTAATTACCAAGACAAACCTCTATCAAGACTTAGTAATTCAGTGAGCATATCTGGTTGATATAATGAGGTGTAAGCTTGTATGTGTGTTAGTCAGTTTACGAAGCCCCCTGCCATAGCCTGTCCGTCTAGAGTCATTAAGCCTTAATGACTCAAAGAAGGCATAATATAAAATTAAAAGATAATAAGCCAAACCATTATATATCAATCTCTGCCTATGCTATTTCGTTCTTTAATTATGATTGTATATAATAATATTAACGTGAGGCTTTAACAAGAAAGAATTCGAGCTTCAATAATATCCATCATATAATACGCAAAATAAAGTTGAGTTTAGAGGAATCTCTTGTTTCATAGTTGTAGAGAATACTTCCATTTTAAGTGAAAGTGTTTGGTGAAGAGAGTCGAAGGTCGATCCCACCAGAAGACGACGATGATTTAGTTAGTTCCATTTTCTACCTCATCAAAGTGCTCAGACATAGAGTATATATAGAGCATTTTAGGGATAAGCTGGTGAGTTTTCTTGACTTATTAGTGTCAATATTGTAGTAAAGATGCTACCTTGTTCTGATGATGTCCTTCATACGAGGGACGAAAGCATTGCACATTTTCAACGGAATCCAAGGTGATTCCCTCGGAAACAGCGTCAACAAGAATGTTCAAGTAAAGACAATCGACAGCTAGTCAAGAAGACTCCGCCGTCGTCTTCTGGTGGAATTAAATTTCGAATCTCTTCACCAAACACTTTTACTCGAAATGGAAGTAAGCTCAGCATCATATGCTAGACGAAAGCTCAGTCCGTTTACATCGAATACCAGAAAGGATGTCTCATGGACTGCGTCAGCCTAAACGTCGTATCAAAGAAACCGGGAATCATCCGTTGTTATTTTGGTGCGATCGAAATCATGCACTTTATTGCGAAATATCAATCTCCCCAATACTTCCGAGCAATTCATTCAAAATCAGTTCCTCTTCATATCATTTATTAGAGTCTTTCCTGGCTAATTTTTCTTCTTTTTTACGCCATGTTTTGATTTGACTGACTTGTTCGAATTTCGGTCTTCTTGAGGTCACTTACAGAGTTTGCATTTTAGCCCTTTACACTTGGGAGATAGGTACAATATAGGGCCCTGGTTTCTGTGATAGTTTGCGGTGAGGAAATGTTTATATTACATAGGTGAGCAGTGTTGAACTAACACTTACTTGATTAAATGACTAAATTAATGCAATAGCTTGTTCTATAAAGCATTACTTTAAAATACAGACAAATATATGGACAATTTTCCGTCTATCACCTTATGCGACCTAGAGTGAGTGAGGGTTTTCTTTAAGCTGGACTGGTGGATTCGTAACCTACTCAAACCGAATGTCAGTAATGCGGTGGTTGTAAATAAAAATTGCACTAACAAATATGCCATACAAGAGACCTGGCTTACTTTGAATATCCTTTCTGTCCTGGACCAACTGAAACTAGTGGCAATGTGACGTAGTGTTGGCAGTTTGAAATTGCACGCTGGGCTCTACCGCAAAGATTCCCGTTGTAGGCTCTGAGGAGACACAGGCGAGTCGAAACTGCTGTCCGCATTGGATTAAGAGGCTACTTCGAAGTAAAGCTATGCGAATTTCAGTGGTTTTGAAAGATTTTTATGATAGCATTATGAGAAACTTTAATTGTCAGTCCTTTAACCGCTCTGTGCCAACAAGGCTCTTGTAGTTTAGACACCTACTCAATCAGAATTGTTTGGATACTTTTATGTGGAACTAATAAAATAAGGGCAAAGTGGACTAAAAGGGGTAAATTTCCAAGTATCGAGGACTTAAAATTATCCCCAAAGATAAAAAGTATTTTCATGGCCTCGCACGAAATGTTTGTACGATTTGCACATTCGAGCTTGAACTCAATTTTATGAAAAAAGCCACATATTTTAGCTGTCCTGTATAAGGTTTATGATATATGTGTCGATGAAACTTCGGAGCAAGTAGTGTGAATATCTTCGTAAGTACGATTGAATTAGCGGCCGAAACTTAGATGCAATTAAGCTAAATAGGTGGATAATATATGGATTAGTATGGGCAGAACTCTCTTTGTGTTGGCTCCCATTTCAGGTAAAGATATTCTAAAGTCGATTTCACCAGAAGACGACAGCGGATTCCTGGCATGCTACCGGTTGGTCCTACTGGAACATTCTTTTTGGTGATTTCTCCGAGGCAATCTCCTTCCATTCCTGTGAGAACGTGCTAAGCTTTTGTCCATCTTATGAGGGGCATCATCATATCAGGTTCACTTTATAAATTTGTTTAACAAATTCCGGCAGTCTATTTCCGGGATTTTATCCCTCCTTTTGTCTTAAAGTCACTGTCCCGTTAACTAGTTCTGAACCGCCTGGATAACCAGGGAGCGGCAAACCAGATATGGAGACCAAGATATTGTGGCCTTTATTTTTGTGAGCTTACTTCCATTTCTAGTGAAAGTGTTTGGCGAAGATATTTGAAGGTCGCTTCCACCAGAATACGGCGGCGGATTCCTCTTGATCAGCTGTCGATTGGCTTTACTGTAACATTCATGTCGACGCTGTTTCCGAGGTAATCTCCTTCGATTCCTGTGAAAACTCATCAACTCATCCCTTGACTCGTTAGCTTGAATTTGCTTTTAAGGATGATATTTTGCTCTAATGCTGTTCACCATACGACGAAAGAAAGCTTATCACCTATTCACCAGAATCGAGGAAGATTACCTCGGAAACAGTGCCAACAATAATGTTCCAGTGAAGCCAATCGACAGCTGGTCAAGAGGAATCCGCCGTCGTCTTCTGGTGGAATCGACCTTCGAAAATCCTCATCAAACACTTTCACTCGAAATGGAAGTAAACTCAACAATTATGAGACAAGATATTTCTCGAAACTTAACTTTTCTTCGCCTCTATTACTGCCGCAGTCTCCCTTCAATGTATCGAAGTGGTCTAACCTCATTTTTGCAACTTGGTCATATTGTCAGAGCGACTCAGTTGGACGCACATTGTCCGAAGTAATTTGCACTAGCAGTTGTCATTAGTTCCATCGTCGGACTGCGGATTTGATACATTACCAAAAGTAAGTGATTCTTGCCATTCTCAGGACCGGGCTTGTCAAAGAGGCAAAGGCTGCTCAATGGATTGACCTCACTTGTTACTCTGACGATTTTTAGATTGGTGCTGAGACTGGTAAAACTAAATGACGATACCGGCTGCGATGCCGATTAGGATGCCGGGGAAACGTTTGGGAATGTATCAAGTCTCGAAGACTCCCTTAATAGATTGATACTGTCGTTTGAGGCGGGTCGAAGGGATTCGTAGATTGGCCCCACCGGATACAGCAGGAGGGTTACCTTAGACTTTTATCTGTCAAATTGTGCCAAGAAGACCTCGGCTCACCGTCTTGCGACCTCGATGACTCCGTGCTAAGCTTTCGTCCGTCATGTGACAGACATTGTCAGAGCCAGAAACCATTATTCACGAAAAATCCCAAATAAATACTAAAAAAGAGAAAGGGTGGCCAGTTAAGATCCTACTTGTTTCTTATACCTCACATTTTGATCTTAATGAGGCCTTCCATGGTTTGGTTGGCTGACGTATGCTTGCCCTACCTGCCTGTAAGTGGGTCAAAGGGAGAGATGTGGTCCTAACTTTTGTCAATGTAAATAAACTAGAGTAGGATTCAGTAGTCATGGGTCTTGTTACAGCTTCGTGGATGCGTGCTTGCGTGTGTATGCAACAACTCCGAATTGGTTTGCAATTTTAGGTTTAAAAGCAAGCTCCAGCTCAGTCAAGTCTTCTCCTGTTCCCTTTCCTTCTCTCTATCTCTTTATCATTCTATTTAGAAGCCAGAAATAGTTCTTACTTAGTCTTCTACATTCATTTATCTTATTCAGCATGTTGTTTGTTTTGTTAATTTCAATCGATTCCATAATCTTCCGCTTAGTTGTGAAGTCCACATATCCGGAAAAAGGTTGGGATTTAGACCACTCTATCTGGTCGTATGACGGTGAGCAGAGGTCCACTTCGCACAATTCAACAGAAAAAAGTCCAAAGAAAGCCTCCTGCAGTATCCGGTGAGACCAATCTACGAATCCATTAGACCTGCCTTCTCAAACGAAATGAAAGAGGTACGCCAGTATCAATCTATTAAGGGATTCTCGAGACCCAGCTTTTCTTCATATCTCTGAAGTATGCATGTAGACCAAACTTTTAGAAGCTCATCAGTTTACACAAAGACCAAGAAACTAATGGCCAGGCAAGTTAATTATATCAGATTTTTTAAAGCATGTTCTTCGCGTAGTATGCTTCCTAAGTTTTGTATTCTAGCTAGACTTAATTTGCCAAATCGAACTAAAAGGGACCTTATAAAAGTATTTCATGATTTGGACAAGGAAATACTTCTTCAAAACATTACTAGATTACATAATTTAATCCTAAAAACAACCAGACAAAGGCAAGTTTTGTCGGATACTCTTAACTCTGAGGATTTCCTGAAGCTTCAAGCAATGGCTGACAAATTATATGATGTAGTATTTTGTCAGATAAGGTAGAGTCACGATAGGAAACTCAAGAACCTGGGAATTAGAATTAGATTTTAACATAACAATCGAAATTAAACGAAAGGAGAGAGAAAATAAAGATATTCGGAAGTGGTTAACCTGTCTAAAACACCATTTGACAGTACTACTGAGGAAGTTCAATCTAGAGGTCTTAATTATGCTTTGCCAAATAGTAAGAACTTCACTGATGATATTTTAGTAGTGTTTATTAACTTTACTGACCGATTAGCCGAATAAACTAAAAGTGAGATTGAAATACAGGTTGTTTCTCTAATTGATAATCATGTAGAACCACAAAATAAGAATAGATGTGCTAATAATTTCACAAAGAAGCTTAGACAACACGAGCAAATAGTTTCGATGTCAGACAAAGGAGTAGCAGTGGTAGTAATGGATAAGGCCGATTAAATAGAAAGAAATGAGGCTGGTTTTAGCTGATGCTGATACGTATAGAATTACAACCAAGTCGATACTTAAGAGTTGCTTGCAACAATGCGTTAATAATGGAGAATTGGAGAAATATAAAATGAATACACTTCTCCAACGTGACGCTAGACCTCCTAATGCATATGATCGGCCTAAAATTCATAAAGAGGGGGTCCCACTTAGGATCATTGTTAAAAATAAGGTTGGTGTGATGCATAAAACATCACGATTCCTTTGTGGTCATTTAAAGCAAATCTCAGGTTTTGGGGAAAAAAAAATTCTTGACTTTATAAAGTTAATAGACTAGCAAACAATAGAATAAGAAGATTTGCTAGTAAGTTTTGATGTAGTATCGATTTACACGAAGGTACCGATGAGTGGGGCCATACAGTCATTAGGATTAACATTAGATCTACATCCAGCGATAGTATCAGGAAATATGATGAGCAAGGAGTCAATTATGCGATTGACGAGCTTACTCATGAATAGTACATATTTTATCTTTAATAGTAAATTGTACGGGAGTTACGACAATTACTAGTGCATAGTACTTTGGACAAGATGAGTCCAACTAAGTCGCCCTGACCGTATGACCAAGTTGCGAAAATGAGGTCAGACCATTTCACTGGTAAACCAGTTACGCTCCGATGATTAAACTCAAAGGGACATACATCTCGAGTACTGCTAAACAAACGAGGGCGCAGTTTAACGTGGAGACGGGACTTGGCCGTATACAATTTGACTTAGGGAGGGATGACACCGATTGAGGGTTACGACCGAGAGGAGGAGAAATGTCCTATCCGTCAGTGAGATTTTCTTTATTTCTCAATGACCCCTTTTAGCTCGCAACTAAACTCTACGACTCTACTCACTGCAGATGCTGATCGCTATGTCGTACACTATGTCCAGGGCTGTATCCAGGTCAGCGTTATGATGCTTGAAGCAAACATAACAACAGCTGTCACTCTTCCAACAACGCCATTATATTGCGACTCTACTAACGAATTCAAGACCACATCTCAGTCTTCATATTTTTCGTTCATAGGTAGGTTTTCGAGATTACCAGTAAATCAATTGTATGAGGTGTATTCACCCTATTTCGTTTAAGTTAGGGAAAGATTAGTAGCTGAATTTTCCCACAATCATATGAGTAGAGCTGACGATTTCATTGAATTCCGCATAGCTTTGCTTTCCCAAAAGGTGTTCTCATCTAAGGTGGACTGCAGGTTCGATCTCGCCGAGGTCCTATCACCAAGCCCATTAGTCTCGAGGTCATACTTATGATAGAAAAATAACTAATGTAGTCGATTGTCATAGCAAACATAAGTTTCCTTCATCGACAATCCCACCCAAAAGTGTGATATGAGAAAAGGAATGCTGATGAGACATAGGCGAGTTCGAAACTGCAGTCCACCCTGGACGAGAACACATTTTGACAAAGCAAAGCTATGCGAAATTCAATGGAAACGTCAGCTCCTCACATATCATTGTGGGAGCATCCTACTACCAGTCCTTCATCACCTTAAACGAAATAGATTGAATACATTTCATATAGCTCAGTCTTCATGTCTAGACTAGTAGAGTACACCAAAGTGCTCGATTCAAGGCCTCTGTCAGCCTTAACAACATCCAGTTGAGATAGTCGTCAGCAGATTAGGCTGGGCGATGCAACGCTATGTCAGATGGTGTCCGTTGTCTTGTCTGTTGTGATGCCGCAGATGCATAAACGTTTCCTTCTGGAACAAAGTGAATGAGGGTTTGCCGAAATAGTGCAGAGCTCGGAGGGCCGGTGAGCCGGGCCGGAGAGACAACATGTTGACCTTGTGCATGTGTCGTCTATGCCTGTCCTCATAACCTCACCTTGAGCCACAATCTTTGCCAGGCTTAGGGGCCTGTATCTCGCCCACAAGGTTCACGCGAAGCTGTGCTCTTCTTTCACACGGGTCGGTTCATGTTTCCACATCCACTCACATTTGTCCTGCAGCCTAGGCAATCGGGTCCACTGCAGCTTTACTCCCCGAACATGCACTTTCTCAATTCAGTCCATGTAGACTTCGTGTGAAACGGAC